TGTAGAAGAGCTACTATAGCTCAAATTGCTGAAAAAAGTAATGCTGGTTCTGTTAGAAAAGTGTCTACAACACAGTGCATCACAGTTTGTTGTTTATGGGACTGCATAGCTGTAGATCAGTCAGGGAACCCATGATGACCCGTGTCCAAAGACAAAAGCACCTACAACGGACTCGTGGGCATCAGAACACTGGAAGACGGTGGCCTGGTCTGATGAGGATTCAAGAATAGTTTGAGGAACACAAGGAGTTTGAGGTGTTGACTTGGCCTCGTAATTCTCCAGATCTCGGTCAAATCGAGCATCTGTGGGATGTGCTGGAAAAACAAGTCCAATACATGGAGAACCCCACCTTGCAACATACAGGAATTAAAGGATCTGCTGCTGATGGCTTAGTGCCAGCATACAGCATACCTTCGGAGGCCTTGTGGGGTCCATATCTTGACGGGTTACGGTGGGTGGCCATAATTTATAGCTGATCAGCGTGTATATATAGAAAAGGAGAGGTTTGGGAGCTCATGACAAATAGATTGCAGGGCTATTTTTAGTAGTGGATGTGTATGGATTATTTTTGGAGTATATGGATACTGTTTAGGCCCTACACGGGACACTTCTGAACGATGGAAACTGACTGCTGGAAAACGTATGATAAAAAACGACTGTGTAGCCGCGTTTGCATAACACGTTTATGTGCTTTTGCGTTTAGAAGCGTTTTTTAAAGGTAAGCACCGTAGAACGTCCCAAATGCCCAGAATGCACTGAAAAGTGGTAAATTATTAACTATTTCAGACTGTTTCAGAGACATACAGAGAGTAGAAGCAGAGACAGCAGGATGTGTTGACATTAGCTAGGTGCAGGGGCGGACTGACCATTCAAGCACTCGGGCACTGCCCGAGGGCCCAGGGTCAGTAGGGGGTCCCATGTAATGCCCCTGGTACCTTTTTTTTTTTTTTTTTTTTTTTTTTTTTTTTTTTTTTTTTTTTATAGGCTTTTTTTGCGTGTAGGCAAGGAAACGGGCCCCATGATCCCCTATTGCCGGGGGCCCCAGGAGTTGTCAGTCCACCTCTGGCTAGGTGTGAGTTGCTCATTAACATTTCTTGTTTCCAAGGGTGGGAAAGGTGTCTGGTGGAGGGAGTCATTAAGGCCACCTGGCAGGGGGTCCTCATGAGCAATTAGAGGTGTGAATGGTCATTAACATATCTTTTGTTTCCAAGGGTGGGGGAGGTCTGAGGTGTGAATTGGTCATTAACATATCTTTTGTTTCCAAGGGTGGGAGAGGTCTGAGGTGTGAATTGGTCATTAACATATCTTTTGTTTCCAAGGGTGGGAGAGGTCTGAGGTGTGAATTGGTCATTACAATGTGTGACCAGCTTGGTAGGAACATCCTGTGTTCAGTGTTTTGTCCATCTGAGTACCTTGAAAACACTTTGCATGCATTTAGACGCGCTTACAAACGTTTTGCGTTTGAAACGCTGATAAAATCGACTTCTGAACGCAAGTTTGTTGCGTTAAAAAAAATGACTGTAAACTCAACTGCCTGTAAACGATTGTAAACGAAGATGTGTACATGGACACATAGGAAAACATTAGGGAGAGTTCAGGGGCTGCTGAAAAAAAAAAACGCTGAACAGCTCCTAAACGTGAGTTTATCAGCTGCAGTGTACAGGAGCCCTTAGTGTCACTTTAATTTCCTATGCAAATTCTGACTCCGAAAGCTTGTGATAAGGGGCGTGGCCATTACTTCACTATGACAGTGCAGACCACTGGAGTGGGAGTGTATGCAACTCATTTCTTTTGGTAGAAAAAAGTAATTTCCAACTAAAAATGTATGTAAAAGCACACATAGTTGATTCTGTTGACAGGAAACAAAATGAGAAGTATGACCACCTGGCGGTACAGTCACTGTGCCAGACAGAGACGCAAGTTCTATTTTCTCTGTGATCAGATAGTGTAAAGAAATTTAATTAACAAACCTTTTCCTGTTCCTCCAGGTGCATTGAGGAAATCGATGTGACCTCTGCTGCTGGCAGTGGCCGTTTTAGAAGTCTTAAGCTGGCAATAGATTCTTTATTTCAGGTACTTGTATAGCGCCGTCAATTTACGCAGCGCTTTACACATATATATTGTACACTAGATGACTTTTTTTCTTTTTTTTCGATCAGCCAGCTGGCTGATCGAATAAAAAAGGACAATCAAACGGTTGTCTCCATCCACACAAAGGAAGTGGAAGGAAAAATCCTCCTCACACAGGGACATTGTATTCTGACAGCGGCACTCCTTCACTGTCAGAATACACGGATCGGAGACCGTAACTGATTGGCTGCAGCCACTGATCAACAAAAGTTTTCCGACATTCCCGTTACACAGAATTCAATCTAACAATCGACTGCTGTTAAATACAGATGGCTGTACATTGACTGTAATTTGGCCAGTCCCTTCTGAGCCGGCCAAGTTTTGATCCATCTATGGCCAGCTTGTTTGACGTGAAAGAGGTTGGATGCCATTTTGGTGTTCGAGGTTTCCGATGTGCTTTGTGTGTCTGCAGTTGTTTATGGAAATAGAAATCCATTGTTTTGTAGTTTATTATTATGCAATATATTCGGTAACCTGTACAACATTTTACTACACATGATACAGGTTTATTATGTTTTTACTATAGTCTCATTTTGGGTAATTCCATTAAGACTCGGTTCACACTACTGCGACTCGATTCGGATGCAACTTTCAGTGTGATCATGTAGTGCGACCTTGATGTGACTTCAGATGTGGCTAGCATATTCTATGAAGCCAAATCGCACATGGGCATTTAGTGGCTGAAAATACTCCCAGGGCCTGTGCGTTCGGGACACAATCATTGCGGCATAAGGAACCGCTTGAGCACTAGGTGTTTTCCGTGCTTCGCAGAATCTGGCCAGTGGAATGAATGAACACCCAAGCGCTTGACACATCCAAACGCAGCATTAGGTGTGGATTTTATTGCTGCTTCAAGTGGAGCTCCAGTCAAAATGAAAAAAATAAAAATCGGCAGCTACAAAAACTGTAGTTGCCGACTTTTAACATACAGCCTGTCCCTCGATCCTGTGGTGTCCTCCCCACAGCATTTTTCACTGGCCGTCTTGTGTTTCCAGCACCAACATCTTCAATGTGGGCAGCCAGCTGTGACAGCTTGTGGATTTACAGCCAGGAGTCCACTGCGCATGCGCGAGAAGCCCAGCGCTTTGTGAATGGTCCTGTAGTCTTCACGTGTCCCTGAAGACTACGGGGTGGGGTGAGGACACCTTCCGATCACCTAGGCGATCACAGCAGAAGTGGGAGCGGGTACCTGTCAAATTCGGGTACCCCTTCCCCCCTGCTCCCCAAAGGTGCCAATCCTTAACAGGGAGCGGGGGACAAAATCTTCAACATAAATTCGCTTTTGGAGCTCTGCTTTAAGTCTGGGTTGACGGTGCGGTATATCGCACCGTGATTCACACAGGAACCACACCGCATTCCTGTGCAAATCACATGCGATTTGTGTGCGGTACGATTGGAGCCATACACACCCGCACCAAAAACGTGCAGGACCCTTTTTTTGGTCCTCCCTAGAATGGGATTGCAGGGGCATTCACACCTATGTGATCCGATTCTGCACATCGCACCGCGTTTTGCGGATTGCTTTTGAGGTGTTGTTAACTTAACATACACACCTGCAGGGGTTTGCATGAACGGGGTGCGATTCTGATGCGGTGCGGAATTTGCACAGAAAACGCAGCAAATTCTGGACCGCATCGGAGTGAGCCAGGGCTGAGACGTAAAGTCACAGAATGTCAGCTTTAATTTCCTAAAATAATTTTCAGAGATCATATGTACACTTCCATTGCTGACTTCATCCAGAAAATACTACTTGCCTTAAAATGTGACTTCCCTTTTAAAAAAGTAAAGTTGGCCATGCACGAGTACGATTGCGTTTTTGAAATATTTCATTTTAAGAACATTCATCTGATTATCAAATTCTTGATGGGGTCTAATTGATGTTCTTTTTCGACCGTAGTGATGAGAAAATTTAATGGAAATTTTTTAAGGGTCCTTTCACACTCACACGGGGTGGACTCCTTTAACATATCCTCTTGCTCAGTGGGGGATCTGTGTCCGCTCCGCCGCTGCAGAGCAGACACAGAGTAGCACGCTGTCCTCAATGGGCGGTCAGATGGAAACAGACCGCCTGTTCATTTCCGTCCAACCCAGTCTGACGGACGGAAGGGTAATTGGATCCCCATCCGTCTTTTTTGTGGGTAGGATTGGATTGGATGTCGGCGGGTATAAACACATGTCCATTTACACTCGCCGCTCCATAGAGGAGAGTGGAGGTTCCGTTCGGGTCCGCCTGAAAAACAGGCATGCGGACCCAATTGGAACGTCCATGTGAAAGGGGCCTAACAGTGAATGTGTATGGGGTTTTTTTTTTTTGTTTTTTTTTTTCCCCAGGAAATTTCATTAACCTCCCTAGTGGTCTGATTATGTCCATATTTCTGTGCTCAAAGCGGTACATTTTTTTGCATCGAAGTATGTATTTTTTTTATTGTAGGCCTGTAATTTTTAGGAATAACTCACTAAAATCTGTCCGAACAAGAGTCTAGTAAACATCCTGTGTATGTTAAAATTTGGAACACGAAATCATAAATAATAATTTAATAAATAATCATAAAAAATAATAATATAATAATAATACATTTAATTCAATAATATAATCAAACCAAAAACACTGAAATTTAAAATATAGCGCCAAGTTCACACATCACTGAGCAAAGTCGCAAAATCGTTTTCAGTGTCTGATGATGAATTTCCCCCACGAATCATTATCACTCAATTCTGCAAGTAGTTCTAATTTACGATCGCTGTTCTCTAGCTGGTCTAAAACCGCTTTTGACCTAAAGGGACGCTTTTTGGACGTCATGGACTTTGTTTCCAGGCAGAAAGAACAGTAAAAATGCAGGCAGGGCACAGGACAAAGCACTCGGGACAAAATGTATGTGAAATGGTTTGATAGAGTAATGTTATACTATGTGATTTTAGTGAATTTAGTGAATGTCATTTTCAAATTTCCCACCGTTCTGTCCCCCATACGTCCCGACGCTCGAAGGGGATGGAACCCAGATGACAGATGCCGGCATCCGCCGGATTACATTGCCGGGGACACTGCAGGAGGGACATCGCGGGAGCGCAGGACAAGGTAAGTGAAGAAGAGATCCCGGAGCAGCACTGCATGGTAAGCCCGAGTGTAGCTCGGGGTTACCGCTTTTGGTACTGAAACTTTACCCCGAGCTACACTCGGGATACCGTCAGGGAGGCTACTTACAAAACTGTTAAAAGCAAACAACATTTTGAAGTAGTTTTCATCAACTCAACAAATGTACTGAGAATTTTCACATAGCTATTCATAAACAAGGGCAGCACAGTGGCTAAATGGTTAGCACTTCCGCCTGGCAGTACTAGGGTCGTTGGTTCGAATCCCAGCCACGGCACCTCCTACCTGGAGTTTGCATGTTCTCCCTGTGCCTGCGTGGGTTTCCTCCGGGCACTCCAGTTTCCTCCCACACTCCAAAGGCATGCTGGTAGGTGAATTGGATCCTGTCTAAATTGTCCCTAGTATGTGTATGTATGAATGTGAGTTAGGGACCTTAGATTGTACGCCCCTTGAGGGTTAGGGACTGATGTGAATGTACAATATATATGTGTAAAACGCTGCGTAAATTGACGGCGCTATATAAGTATCTGAAATAATAAATAAATAAATAAACGTTTGTTCAAAAAATGTTTTCAAGTGTATGGCCATCTTTAGGAGGACCTTGTTCTACTGATCCACATACCTGCCCTCCTGATGGAATAGCCAATATGGACTCCATCTGGGTCCCATTATCCGCTGTTTTCTCTCCCGCTTTTCACTGACACTCTGTGTGAGCCACGGGCACCGATTTGGCTGTTCTGGCTACTAAAAAAAAAAACAAGTTGAAAGTTAAGGGGAAAAAAAAGTGATGGATTCCCATGAAATAAACCAGTTTATCTTGTCTCCTGTGACTGTGCGGGTTCTGGCACATACAGGAGAAAAGGGAATACCCCGGCTGAGTCTTTCTACAGGATCCTGCTGAGCTCGGCTGGTTTTCCGTTTTGGCCTAGAGATCTGACATCTCTAAGCCAGTTATTGCTGAGGACAGGCCATAGCATAACGTGTCTGCTATATGTTCAACTCCACTCACAGGGTTAAGTTTTCATAAAACAAGAAGTTGGATTTTGCTGAGTCAGCGTTTTGAGCAGGAATTATTCAAGCCTGAAAAATATTCACATTGACTGCTAAAAAAAAAAAAAAAAAGTTTTCTGTTATTCTGAGCTGGTTTACCCATTGTGCATACCAGCAATTCCCAGAGCCGTGTTGGGGGATCTGGAAATGGGAATTGTTATTGTTAAACTAAGACTTTTGTGTGACCTTTTGACCTATAGGACAAAAAAAAAAAAAAAAAAAAAAAGACACCGCCCTGTATGGTTTAAATGACTCCGCCGTGTATGGTTTCTGCCCAGCCAGAACTGCCATTACACCTCCATGCTGTCACTGGGTGCTGTTGATTTGAAAGGCTTTCAGAACTTACTAAAAAAAAAAATTCCTGTAGATCCTGCCAGAAATGAATTACGCTTGTAACTTTATGTGTAGTATTGAAATCTCAATCAGTGTTCTCAGCCCTGCCCAATTCACCTATGTGAACTACAGACACCTCCTCCAAGTGTAATGGTGAGATTGGAGGGGGGGGGGTGTTCTGTAGAGAAAACAAGGATCACAAACACGCTCCCCTCAATCAGCAGTGGTCACCCGTAGGCTGGCCATACACTATACAATTTTATTACAGTTTTCTACCCAATTATTATTATTATTATACAGGATTTATATAGTGCCAACAGTTTGCTCAGCGCTGTACATAATAATGTGAGACAGTACATGAGACAGTACAGTAACAATACGATTCAATACACGAGGGGTTTGAGGGCCCTGCTCCTTGGAGCTTACAATCTAGGAGGGAGGGGATAGTGGTACAGGAGGAATAGCTGTGGGGGATGGAGTGGTAGGAAGAGTGGAGGAGATCGGCAATTAGCAGAGGGCGGGGTAGGCTTCCCTGAAGAGACAGGTTTTCAGAGTGCGCCTAAAGGTGAGGAGAGTAGGTGACAGTATGATGTTTTGGGGTATGGAGTTCCAGAGGATGGGGGAAGCCCTGGAGAAGTCCTGGACACGGGCATGGGAGAAGGAGACCAGGGAACTAGAGAGTAGGAGGTCTTGGGAGGATCGGAGAGTATGTTTTGGGTGGTATTTGGATAACAGATCGGTGATGTAGTTTGGGGCAGTATTACCCAATTTCCTTTAGATTTACCTTTAACTGTGTACTGCCTAATTGGATACAATTGAAAGTATTGTTCATGTTTAACCTCATACTATATGGTTTTTGGTAAATCTAAAGCAAAATTCTCAAGAAAATTGTATAATGTACGGCCAGCGTAAGGCTGGCCATACATTATACAGTTTCCTGGAGATTTTTGGTTATAGATTTACCAAAAACCATATAATAGGAGGTCAAACCTAAGAACACTTTCAATTGTATCCAATTAGGCAGACCCATGCACTACACAGTTAAAGGTAAATCTAAAGGAAATTGGGTAGAAATTGGACAGAAAATTGTATGATGTAATGCCAGCCTAAGGGCGGCTTCACACTGCCCCACTGCACTTTGGTCACAGCGCGGGTGCAGCACAGCGTTCCCGCAGTTTTGGTGAGATTTGCCATAAATGTCTATTATGTCCCTCAGTTTTGGGGTGATTTAAAAAATGCACCAAAACGACAGGACATAATAGAAGTTAAGCGCGGCTAACCTGCACCAAACCGTAGGCACACTGTGCTACAGCCAAAGCGCGGCAGCTCAGTGTGAAGCCACTCTAAGACTTGCACTAAACTGCTGTGCTTCTAAAAATCAACCTGTGTTCCAATTGCTTTTCAGAGGCATTTGAACAGGCAGGGAGGAGATGCCTGTTTTAACTCCATAATTGGCACACCAATGCAGCTCAACCGCATGCAGTGCACATTATTATGGGTCATTTGTAGGGCTTCCCCATTCACACTTAGGCACACAGTCTGCCAAATGCATCGAGAGCTATAGTTTTTGCCACGGGGAGCCTTTGCAACTTAACCTCCCTGGCGGTATTCCCGAGTGTAGCTCGGGGTAAAGTTTCAGTACCAAAAGCAGTAACCCCGAGCTACACTCGGGAATACATTGCAGTGCTGTTCTGGCATCTGTTCTTCACTTACCTTGTCCTGCGCTCCCGCGATGTCCCTCCAGCAGTGTCCCCGGCAATTTAATCTGGCAGATGCCGGCATCTGTCATCTGGATTCCGTCCCCTGCAAGCGTCGGGATGTACGGGGACGGAACTGGCGGGAAATTTGAAAATGACAAAAAGCGACATTCATTAAATACACTAAAATCACATAGTAAAACATTACTGTATCAAACCATTTCACATACATTTGTCCCGAGTGCTTTGTCCTGCGCCCTGCCTGCATTTTTACCGTTCTTTCTGCCTGGAAACTGAGAAATGTCCATGGCGTCCAAAAAGCGTCCCTTTAGGTCAAAATCGGTTTTAGACCAGCTAGAGAACAGTGATAGTAAATCAGAACCACTTGCAGAATTGAGTGATGATTCGTGGGGGAAATTCGTCATCAGACACTGAAAACGATTTTGCAACTTTGCTCAGTGATGTGCGAACCTGGCACTATATTTCAAATTTCAGTGTTTTTGGTTTGATTATAATATTGAATTAAATTTATTTTTTATATTAGTTTTATGATTATTTTATTAAATTATAATTTATGATTTCGTGTTTCAAATTTTATCATACCCAGGATGTTTACTAGACTTTTTGTCCGGACAGATTTCAGTGAGTTATTCCTAAAAAATTACAGGCCTACAATAAAAAAAAAATATATATTTCCATGCAAAAAATTGTACCACCTTGAGCACAGAAATATGGACATAATCAGACCACTAGGGAGGTTAAGGCAGGTGGGGGTGGGGTTTGAGTGGTGCAAAAAATGAGGCTCATCCGTGCATTTTTACAAACTCTCCAACACAAATGTAAACAAGCCCTTAGACAGAAAAATCAGAAGGATCACCAGGTGAAAATATGAAAATAAAGGGCAAAACAAACCTAAAAAAGAAAACTAATGCAGCCACCATATCTAGAGACTAGTAAGCTGTAACATATCATTTATGTGATTTTGGGTCTAAATCACCCTGAATTTTGTCACTTGTGTGCATGAGGACTACATGGAACTGAAGATGCACAGCAAATACAATATGTCACAGGAGGATAAGATGAAGTTGACCTACAGAAACCACTAATAAACTCCTAGCAGGACTAGTCTGTATTGCAGCACCTGTTCACATTCTCAGAACACCAGATAACTTGAGTGGGCAGACAGACACAACAACAATATATTTATTGGAAGCAACACCTATAAAGTACCTCAATGGTGCCAATAAAACAACAGGTGATGTGGTTCAGAGTCCATTTCTAGAAGTTATATGGGTCATGTGTGTTTCTTTTTATTTGTTTTTTATGACTTTGTAATTGTGTGCATGATTATAAAATCTGATCAAACCAGAAGATATATTGGCACATCGTCCGCAGTATTGGCTACGGTACTTTTCGGCTGTTCTTGGAGTTGTGATACTAGGAAGATAATTTAGCACCTTCAAGTAAGCCGAATGATCGAGATCCTTTGTGGTGTGGTGGTGACCTCGGTCCTTATCAAACAGGCATGATAAGAGATTGAGAATATGCAAATGTTAGCCTGAATGGTGGACTGGGGACATTCAGACAGCGTTGGCAATGCCCCATCTTTGCCAGCTTCTACTCCCTGGTGACACCAGAATTTTGGGCTCAAAGTTCAGGCCCTCTACAGCCTATTTTGGATAAGGGCCTACACACACTAGGTGGTATAACTGTGCCAGGGGCATGGTTCATCCCTTTTAGTCCAGTTTGTGTAGTGTGAGCTCTCTGAATTGAGGTTCGGCATGGTTAAGCACACTGGGACCACTTGGAGGAGATGGTCTTAGGCACAGTTCACTTTTCTACAATTTGTAATTGATGTTTATTTAATGAGTGTTTTTTACCATTTGGTTTACCCAGTGTAGTTAACATTTAGATGGCACAAAAGGTTTTCTATTGTGACACAAAAGTTATTCAAACAACAAAAGTTGGTATTTGTTTTGGCAAGTGTTTACCCACCTGGATTCATTGTTTGATAAAACCACCTTTGG